CAATCTAATCTGACCTTTTATTTGCTGTAAATTTTCTGCCGTTTGCAGATTGCAGATAAATAAAGAAATGCCATAAAATCCGAATTACTATTTTCACTTCATAAATAAAATGAATAATAATTTAATACTTTTTATACTTTAGTTTTGTTTGCAGAAATGGTAATGACCGTGTTTCTCTTTGTGGTAGAAAATACTTTAAGTCATGTCAAATGTGTTAAATAAAGACTGCAGTGCACGACCCACACGACTTCTATAATAAATACACGTTCGGACAACAGATAGTGTCCTCTTAAAGACCACTGGCTTGTTCATTTCCCACCAGTATTCCCCAAGGACACGAGATAACAGATAGTGGCATGCACATCTGGATTTGTGTACCTACATTACAGTAAAAACGACTGGTTTCGACGTGACTCCGGTGCGTTGTGTTACCACGTGATGGCGCCATTGACCCATCTGCTGTTCTGACTTTCTCAAGAGAGGTGTGGGCCTCTCCTTCTATTCCTGGCAGGCCCCACAAACACGCAAACTCAGTTTCCACCAAGCTGTAGTCCACTCCTCCACACAGAGCTAAAAAGCGCTGCATCTGCTCCGTGATTGTTGGCTGAACATGAGCCTGTTTCACTGCGTTAAGAGGGAAAAGGTCTGATGTGTGCAGGATCTCATTTTTACACAAAAATTCTCTGTTTTAGTCCATTTAAACCCTGGTGGTGCTGATGGAGATGGAAATTCTGATCTATATTCTGGTTTTGATGCGCATATACGTCTCAGTGGTTGTATAGCAACCATTTCCTTCCTGCTTATTATAAACACAGGAGAGCTATTTATATCTCACACAGAGTACCGCATTGGCCTCGTTTCCAGAGACCAGTGAAATTATGCTGATGCCTATACATTTCCCTTTCATTTCCTCACCTTTCTCATCTCCCCCTTTTCTCCCTTTGCTGGCTCTCTCTTCCCTCTTCATTTTTCTCTCTTCCATTTCAGACCCCGTGCTTCCCTCCCTCCCTCTCTATCCTGTGTGTGAGGAAGCAGGATAGGTTACACTGGATTCAAGCAATACTTTTCTTTTTCTAAGAAATCCGCGGTGGAAGCCCATGAGTCACCACTTAAAGATGTTCACAGGCCGACAGGTGGCATCCACCCACCCACACCTTTTTTTGTCGTATGCCACGTGTACTCCTGCAGCCTAATCTTAGACCCAAACGGAAACACAGACTTTCCCAGGGTGTCTCATGTGTTTCATTTTTATGTGTGTATTCGGACACGATAATTGTCTAATTAAGACCCAGCAGAGGGGTTGCCACACTGGCCTTCATGGGGAATGACATGTTTTTTAATCCACCCCAGGAGCAGGATGGGAGACCCGCCTGTCGCCGCATCTCCGCCACCAGGGTCACACCACACTGATGCGACAACCACCGTCAACGTCACACTGTCTCCATAGCAACCGTGCCGGGCACAGCATCTCCGAGCAGATGTTGGAGGGTTAAGAGAGAATGAAAGAAAGAGTAGGGGGGAAGCCAGTATCTCTGTGTGATGAATTAATAAACTGTAAAGAGTCTGCATGTCATGGCAGCACGACATGGGTGAAAGAAGTCAACGATCCCGAGTTGGGAAAATAATTTAAATTATTATAGTGACATTTTAAAATTAAAAAATGAGAAAAAAGAACTATCAAAGAGAATCACTGAGAGTCGCTGAAAAGAAATAAACCCCTTCCAAAGTCATGCCAGCAGCAGAGCTTTTACATGAATGTTAGTCAACAAGCAGAGAAGATTGCTGCATTGTAACCTGTGATTTAATTAGCATCTACAATGTAACACAAACAGCAATATATTGTAGTAGGTTTTAACAGTAATGTACTGTAAATGGCAAAGGATTGTGGGAAAATATTGGCCCACTACTGTAAATGTAACTGAATAGTAAGTGTTTTAGTACTCTTAAATGAAAACTGAGGCATATGGAAGCCGTTTTTCTATTTGTATGTTAGATAAGATGGAAATATTGCACACAATGTTCTCCCTTTTAAATATCGTACATTTTACAGGGTAAACCCCCCTAAACTATATCCACATATGCTTCCTCAAGGAATATGCTGTATCGTATAATGCTTACACAGAGGGTTTCTACAGCATGCTTTTAATTCTTTCAGTTATTTCCTCTCTTATTTTGAAGGCTGATTTATTTTTTTCTCTGCCAAGTTTTTACTTCCTGTCTTTGCTCTTTCCCCTCCCTTTTGTATGTCCACCTGTTCCTTGTTACCCTGTTGCCCCTTATGTGTATTTATCCTGCGTGATTTCCCTAAGGCTTTGGACTGAAGTGGCTGACCATAATATCACTGATTTTCTAAGATCCACATCACTGCATGGATACAAACAGCAAGCAAAAGGTGAGAATGTTTAAAAAAATGACACGAAACACTCCTCAGTTCATATTTTTATTAAGAAAATCATTTTGCAGATTTGATTATTATTATCACCTCTCTCGCTCTCTCTCTCACACTCTCTCTATGTAT